CATTTCTTTCTCTGAATCTGAACTTTCTTCAACAACATGCGCAGGCTTTCCAGAAGAACGACATACCCTGGCGAAATGATTTCTTCCTTGGCATTCATGACACATCTGTCCGTTTGCAGGGCAGTTGCGCAATTCGTGATCTTCATAACCGATCGATATACCCTGCGCTGGGCCGCGCAGCAGTCTTGCCTTTACTTCAGCACTTTGAATTCCACACACTATCCCGTCTCTTACTTGGGAGTCTTGTAAGTCACCAAATTCGTACGATTTGCAAGTTTTTTCAACGCGGTAACGTTGTATATCGTTGTATATCGTTGTATATAACGCGGTATCGATAGATTCATCAGACTGTTGACAACGAGTGTTGAATACATGCCTTTCAAAAGTTATATTCTGTTTAGGTGTACAATAACCACGAAATTTTGCAATAAGAGGTTCAATCTTGTCTTCTTCAGTCTCTGTGAATGTGAATGTGTTTAAAACTTCAACAGCATCCTCCCCGGCAACGGTTAATAGAATTGAACACTGAACTTTTTCATCTTTCTTGTCGCTTCTAGTTGCACTTAGATATACAGTAATCTGAATTGCTGTATCCCCCAACGCCAATTTTCTGCTAGATTTCCTTCAAACGACAACGGTTTTGGCGGTGGGAGTGAATTCGAAGTAGCCATGTTAGCTATATTCCTGACACCATGTTATGTTTGTAATCAAAATTTTTATTCGTCAGACCTATAACCTACAATCAGTTTTAAGAGGGAATCTCCACTATCACCGAGCAACAGGTGTCACATGATGAAAAATGAAATGTTTTCTTATTTTGTCCAGTGATACACTGATGTATACTTAGAAACGTGATGGGGTTTGTTTTCTGAAGTGTTATTTTAAACGCCGAAAAATTATCACAACCTGACACGTACCCAAGATTCGTGAAATCAGCCAAAAACATTGTGAGCCATAGCCTCTCGAAAACTTCGTTTAGGTAGTCCAAGAACCAAAAAAGTGGTACGGGTACCAATTTTATCCGTGCCGTACCAAAAATTGAGCGTAGTGTAAACGGGGCTTAAATATGCCTTTGCCCATATAGTACTACTAAATTGTAAATTTCGACATACTAAAACGCTGTTTTCTGACCATCAGAATTCTGTCAAATCTGCCTCAAATCCAGGAAATGGCATTTCAGAGACTCTAAATTTAAACATTTCCTCCGGCCTTTAATTGGCCCTCGCTTCCACTACATAACTTCTAGCGCATTCTAATTTGGTTTAAAAAATATTTAAAGTTATCTAACTTTTGTTTAGGGATGAAACACGTATTTCAATTGCTCGATCAAAATACGTCACACTTCATTGAATCCCGGGTAAGCGGGACCATATATAAACAGCCTCTTATAATCAAATTTCTCTTGAGAAAATTTTGTATCATCGCCTCTAATTATCGCCCATGTTCGTATATTTTAAATTCCAATGTATAATAAAATACGTATACTTTCAAACATCAAACCTCGCACCAGACTTTTAGTTCCACAAGCGAAATTTTCAGTATACATAGATTATAGCCATAGGCGAAATTTTTCAGTTTTGAAAGCAAAACTAATTGTTTTGGAAGCTTCCAAAATAGTTGTAACACTTAAATGGATAAAAATTTACTATTTTCGACCCTCGACTTTTTCCCTCGACCTCGACGTACGACCCTCGACAATTACACAAACTCAAATTATAAGCGTCAATTGAATTTAGGTAATTATAATGAATTCCACAGTTTAGCTCCATCACAACAGAAGCGAGATTTAAAAAAAGCTTTAAAATGTTAAAACTTCTTTCAGATAAGGGGATCTAATTTCTATATTCATGCTATTTCCCTTTACAGGGCCGTTCCTAGACGCGATAATGTGGGGGAGGGGGGGTATATTCATATATTTATGCTCGCTACCGTAAAAACAATCACTTTCAAAAGAATTCCGTCGGGCAGAACACGAGCAGGGGCTCTGTTGCTGGTTGAGAGACAAATCCAAATCAGGGGGAGCTCTGTACTTATGAGCCTTCCGATTGAACCATTTATAAAAAATCTGCATTGTCATTGGCTTATATTTTCGACGGATTCGCAGCGTGAGGTATTCGTCAACACGGCATTAGTGTTTATCTCTGAGTGTTTACTATTTCGAAGTTCGAACGTTTATATTAAACATATTACGAGTGATTTCTACCAGCAATATCTGGAAACATTTTCGACAATGTTCAGTTTGCGATTGCAGTAAACGATTTGAAACCTCTATACAACGTTTGTATACGGAGATTGAAAAGAATATCGATGCCTCACGGGCGAATTTTGTTGACAAGCTACTGAGCGGCGCCATCAACAACACAAGCAGAAGCCTCGCAGCCCTCGCTAGAAATTTTGGCGCAGAGAGCTACTGCTAGAGAAAGACAAAGCTTGCACTGCAATAAGGTAGATAAATTTATGGTTTTATAGTGATGTATCTTTAGTTCATATTAAAGGTTTTTTTAATATATTCGCTATGCTGTATTAGCATAATTCTCGCATCAAGAAGCTAAAATATGTTAATATTCAATGTCTACATTGTAAGCATTTGTTGATTCTCGTGTTAGTAAAGTTTTATTTAAAATTTCATTACATTTATGCATTAATCACACAACATGTACGCCTTAAGAATATTGTTTATCCATAGCCTATCGACGTGACTTGTTAGACCGCATTGGTCTGGTGTAACATGATAATGTAAATATTTAATTAGGTAGCTTGAAAAGCTCATTCACTGGTAGCCATTCTGACTGAGGTACGAAAAATCCTAGATCCGCCCCTGGAACGAACGAAGTTGGAAGAACGGCAACTACATAGTTCCCATGTAATAAAAGCTAAATAATTTGATTTCCAATATGTTTGTAGCAAAAAGAAGGAAAAATTTCCAAGAATAAACGCATTTTTAAGCCTCTCTGAACACTTAAATTTTGTGGACACTCTTACGTTGGCGGCCATCTTGGATTTTCATTTCGCATATTTAATATTATCGTTAATTTATTTAAAACCACGATTCGTGGTTTTGAAAGCCAGCCGGTGCCAGGGCCTTTTCCCTTCGCCCAATTTTCAAAAAAGGCCCTGGGAACGAGGTTGAGAGATTTTTGGAAGGAAATTTTGTGGAAAAAAAGGAAATTTCGGGTTATGGAGAAGGAAATTATTTTTTTGGGAGTGGAAACACTGGATGTACTATCTGTAATTCGCGTGGGTTGATCAATCATCTGTGTTAGTTGGAATAAATTTGCTATCTCATTAAATCTTTTTGTGTGATTATTTAAATTATCTCGTAAAAGATCGCAATTAAAATCACCTACAATAATTTGTTCTTTATGTTCACTATCAAGATTCTGAAATAGTGTTTCAATATCGTTTAAGAGTTCGATTCGCGAATTTGGGGGTCTATAAACAGATGTAATTAAAATGGGTTTGGATTTTGACCTAGTGACCTCGAGACAAACAGCTTCAACATTCGCTGGAATTAAATCTTGCCTATTCATAACATTCAAAACACTGCGATAGTAAATTGCAACACCGCCACCCACACGATTACGATTTTTAACAATCATTTCATATCCTGGTATGCTGACAATATCAGTGCTTATCGTTTCATCGAGTCTACATTCGTTAATACTAAGGATGTCGAATGGTTCTTTTTCAAGATATATTTTCAATTCGTCAATGTACTTGACGAGTGAAGCAATATTTATATGTCCAACTCTAAATCCTTTTAGTGATCGTAGAAAATTTATGTTATACTCGTTCTCTCTCTCTCTAAATTTTGAAAATGGACACAGTCCGGGCTGTAATCACAAATAATATTAAAAATCGTCTTAACGTCTTTGTTCAGCGTATTTGTTTCAACTATATGTAACCATAAACACACAAATCAAATAGCCGAAAGTGCTTCAAATCGCGATCGTATCAACCCGAGCTAGAAACGTCTGTGTTGTGCACATGCTACATTTCAGCAATTTAACAACATGGGATGAAAATAGTTCCGACTAAAACTCAGCCGGCTCCAACTGCTCACGGGCAATCAAATAGATCGCTACTAAACGTGCTGAAGCAAGCGTATC